TGCTGTGACGCCCGTGTCTCACCCCTGTGTGGTACCTAGCGCATGTGCTCGCAGTCCGTCACTGATGGTGACTTCGTGAGTTTCCCTTCCCCCAGCCCGCTGACTGCTCCAGGTGTGAGGGCAGGGTCTGACTTGTGCATCCTGGCATCCCTGGAGGGCAAGGCAGTGCTTTACCTCAGCAGCCTCGGGTCCTGAGAACACTGTCAGTTCAGAGAGCTCGGACCTGCTCGGTCTCCCTGGTGCCACCTCCGCTCCTGAGGCTCAGCATCCAAAGTTCTGGGCAGTGAAATATTCCTGAGGCTGGTAAAGGAAAACTAAGTGACAGCATTTGATTCTGGGGGTGGGGTGGGGGGCTTAAGTAGTGGCGTTTTCAAAATCAAAGTCCAGCTAGTTGCCCTTCTCTCATCCCGTCTGTAGTTTGTTTCTTCCATGTTTTAAGTTTCTTAAATGGCCCAGTCTGGAAATCTTCATGTTTTCTGCTCTGCTTTGCCAGGCAGGGTTACTGACAGAGGGCTTGTGGCTAAGGAAATCACAAAGGAAGCTAGGGCACCTAGCCTGAACCAGCCCCAGACTGGCCCTGGCCCTGGCCCTGGGGACACAGAGAGGAGTCTGGGCTCTGCTGTAACAGATCCTCTCTTCACTGATTCTGGCTTGCGTCAACAAAAAACGAAGCCCCCACTGCACAGCTGGAGCTCTCTTAAATAGCTTGGTGACCCCATCCTCCTGGGGTCAAGGTTCCAGGTGGCCCACCGCCCCCAGGCTTGCTTCTCCACTCTTTGCATGGCTGTGATCCTCCTGGACAGTGACTTTGGGGGTCTCCTTGACCTAATCTTCACTGTCACTTGAGTGGGGCTCTACCCGAGGCTAGATCTTTTTACGTGTATGTGCATGATTTATGTGTATACATATTCATGTGCGTGTCCGTATGTGTGGGTTAACGCTCACGTGCGCCTGTACCTGCATATGTGTGCGCCCGCCCATGGGGGCGCCCTCTCGTTGTTTTTCTTGGAGTTCTGTGAGCCTGGAGCTTGCCTGTCCAGACGACAGTGAGCCCCAGAGAGGCTCCTGTCTACTGCAAGCCCGGGGTTTACAGTTGGGCGCATTACGCCCAGCCTTTTTATGAGGGCGCTGGGGACTGAGCCTGGATCCTCTTGTTCCCATGAAGCACTTTATGGCCGTCTCCAGCTCTCTAGCCCTGTGGACTCTCCTCTGAGGCATCCAGCAGAGGTGGTCGATCGTCCTATTTCTCCTCCGGTCACACAAGGCCCATGTTTTCACATAAAGTTAAAAATAGTTGCTCACAAAAGCTGTGCAGCCTAAGGATCCTCATGTTGTCAGTTCACTCAATAACAGAGTTAATGAACTCCCGGCTCAGGCCATTGCTCAGGGCAGTGTAAAGCTGTGTGAGTGCTGTACATCAGAGCAGCCATGCCTGCTCTGAGGACTTCCTGTTTCCCAACGGCATAGTAAGGCCTGGAATGTGCAGTACTCAGCTTGGGCCTCCCATGCCTGGCCTGTCAGGCAAGAGAAATCGTTCCCATGAGCTGGAAGGACCCTGGCTGGAGCCAGGGAGGGTTTGGATGTGTCCATTATGCCAGCAGATTTGGCCAGTCTCCAGAGCTGGTCCTTCCAGTGAGTGACTACGGATCTCTGTGTAGCCCCAGCACCTCTCTGCTGGGGCAGTCTCTGTGCTCATTTCTTGGGAAGGAGAGAGCACAGGCCACACCCTAAAGTCCTGCTTTTAACTGTCCACGTGACACTGAGCAGGCCACTGATCAGCTTCCTCAGGTGTCAAGCTGCAGTGGTGACTCTTGCAGGCATGCCTCACAGGAAACACTGTATGAGAGTTGCTTTTCTGCCTCTGTGACAAAACATCCACTCAAAGGAGACTTGTGGAAGAAAGTTTATTTTGGTTTGCAGTTCCAGAGAGATTAAGAGTCCACCATGGCAGGGACATGGCAGCTAGTGGCAAACGAAGCCAGAGCAGAAGCCAAAGAGCTTGCACCATTGACTACAAGCGAACGAAGCAGAGCGGATCCTGAGGAAGGGCAAAGACCCAAGCTCCCAAAGTCTGCCCCACTGATATACTTCTGCCAGTAAGGCTGTGCCCCTCGAAGCTCTCCCCTGAAACACTGTCACCAACTGAGGACCAAGCGTTCAGACAGTGCAGCCTAAGGGGGGACATTTAAACCATGGCCTCACACGTGGCTTCCGGGAGGTTATACTGGAGGGTGTGCTCTAAGCTGGGGCATACTACCAGGACGTAGGACAAATTACTAAAATCACTCAGATTTTAATAACTTTTAAATTATTAAAAATGGAGTCAGAGGGGAACTTTCAAGTTACCTAGTAGTTTCTTGGCCAAGGAAACTTTCCTTGAATTCTTAGAGTAAAGCCCATAGAAACAAGCTTGGCACTGAGGTGATGGGACCTGGGGAGTCAGCAGATGGGACAGGCTCAGGGCAGGCTTCTTCAGCATGTGGAACTCCACCCCTCACACTCCCCAGGCAGTCCCTTCCCAAGAAACTGGATTATCTTCTCTAGGAAGAGCCAAGTTTATACAGAAGGAAAAGTCAACAACAGTTGTCCTCATGAAAAAAAAAAAAAATCTGTTAGTCCTCCTCCTAAATTCAATCCTCTCCCTGAGGTCATGTCAGACGGAGAGAATGGCATAGTTAAGGTGGGTCTGGAACGATGGAAGGTCGCCGTGGGCATCCTTCAGGGGCCTACATGCTGTGTCCAGCGTGAACCTACTGTCCTTCCCCACTGGAGCGAGCGCAGTGGAAGCAGATTCTAGGGACACGTGGAGAGCATGTGTGCTTGTATGCGGACACAATGGGAGCGGTCATAACGGGCACAGGCGTGCTCACTGACTTAGCAGCCTTGTACTGAGCGCTGTCGATGCTGTGGCGGTGTTGCGGAAACGTGGCTTTCTGCCTTCAGAGCGCTTCTGTCCAACCAGGAAAGGCTCTCACTGTGCTTGCGGTGAGCTGCCTGCTGCTCCGCCATCAGGATGAGCTTCCTGACGTCGGGTGGGGAGAGTCAAGGAAGGCTGCTGGAGTGAATGACTGCCAAGTTCAGTCTTCGAGCTCACAGCAAAGACAAGCTGAATGGCAGGGTGGAGTGTGTGACAGGAGGAGGCCTAGGTGGAGTAAGCCAGGCTTTGCCTGGGCCCTGAGATTATCCAGTATGGCTTGGGGCAGGACAGTTGAGCTCGGCCCCTATTGTGCAAGCCATATTAGCTGTGTCATGGAGTGTGGATCACTGTGGCCCTCAAGCTGCAAGCATCTGCAGGGAAGACCCCCACAGGGAAGCCCCCCACATCGTCAACCCCAAGGCTTAACAACAAAGACAGAGCCCCCCCACCCCGAGGGAATTCTGGAAAACACTCTTTGTTTGAAAGGGTGTGGGGAAATGGACTAGGAATTCTGACTACTGAGCTGGCCACAGGCTCTGCAGAACAGAGTGCTCCCCCAGAAGACCCATGTGGTGGCCAACAACCATCCTAATCCCCCTCTGACCTCTGTGGCCACTGCATGCACAGGGACACAGGTGCACATGTAGGCAAAACGCCCCCACACAAACTAAATCTAGACAGAAGAAATTCTGAATGCAGTTTTCTTCCTAGACACGTATAAGGTGCACACTCAGGTTCCAAAAAGCCCTACAACAAAGCCTGGCTTGGAACGGCACCCACCTCAGAGCACTCTTAAAACCTCACGGAACGCTTTGCGAGGGCTGGGCAGCCCTGCCTTCCCCAGAGCCTCGTCTGCACAGAAGGTGTTTGGACGTGCAGGGCTGGAGCTCTGTTGACCGTTGCTGAGGCACAGGCCTGCCCTGGGGAAGCGTCTGAGCAGATGGAGGAGTGCTTCGCCTGGTGACACAGGCCTCATTGTGAGCAGGCGCACGCAGCCAGCCCTGTCCACTCTATCTAAAATGCTCGTCAAAATGCATGGTCATGGCTGCTGCTGGCACAGATCCCACTAAAGTCTTCAAACCAGCAGCTGAAATGGAAAAGCCTCCATTGCACATCAGCCCTGAAGGACCCCTTAGCCCTTTCCTGGGGTGGGGGAGCGGCACTGCTGTCCAGAGGGCTGCTCTGGGTTCCCCTGCCTGTCGGTGGGGTGGGGTGTACAGATGGACAGCCTCTGGCCTCTGCAGGAGGACACCAAGGAAGCCGTGAGGAGGTTTCCGGACAGGAAGTATGGTCAGGACAGGCCCTGGCTGGAGCTCTGAGGTGAGCCAGACTGTCCCTTCCCTCTGTCTGGGTCAGTCTCTGAGCCAGGGCCCACTCGCTGAGGGTACAGCACGGCCCCGTTCCTGAACAGTTACTGTGGATGCCGTTAAGCCTCAAAGGGCCTGACACTGGCATGCAACCTTCCAGGTGAGCGCTTATTATCAGCAGGACAGGAGGGAACTCCAGTGGCATCTTGTTCTCAGCTGCTTCCTCTCCAGCCAGCCCTTCAGAAGGGTCTCCATTAGAAACGTGTCCGTGAGACCGAGAGTAAGGGCTGCAGAGCTGGGCGAACACAAAGCAGCTCAGAACTGCCAGGCCAGAGGACTGGCTGAGCTCGGTGGGGTGAGGCAGGCTGTAAAGATGGTCGGACTTTGGTGACCAGAACCCCTGGGACTTTTTATCTTGGCGGTCCCAGGGCCTTCCCCTGAGGAGGCCCGAGCTGGGGAAGGAAGGGGGGTTCCCAGTTACTGCCTGCGCCGGGAGGATGCAGTTTGGCAGCCTGCCTCCCGCTCCAAGGTGGGCTTTGCTCCTCCTGAGCAGGGTAGCAGTGGCAGCCGCTGCTGTGATGCTGAAGAGCTGGGGACCGTCAGGAGAGGAAGGTGATGTCACTCAGCCAGAAGGAATGGCCCCGGGGGCTGGCAGGGCTATGACTGTGCTGTGGGCTGCAGCCCTGGCTGGCCGCTGTTTGACTGAATCCACAGGGTGAGTTGACATCTGGGGCTCCTTCCAGCTAATACAGGGTGTCTGTCCTCTCTCCCTCCAGATTGTGTTCCGGAAGATCAGCGATGTGAAACGGGAAGAGGAGGAGAGGATGAAACGAAAGAATGAGGCCCCCCTCATCCTGCCTCCTGACCACCCTGTCAGGAGACTTTTCCAAAGGTTCCGCCAGCAGAAAGAAGCCAGGCTGGCAGCAGAGCGAGGGGGCCGGGACGCGGACGACCTGGACGTGGAGAAGGGCAACGCCCTCACGGACCATACCTCAGCCAACCATAGCCTGGCGAAGGCCAGTGTGGTCACAGTGCGTGAGAGCCCCGCCACACCCGTGTCCTTCCAGGCAGCCTCCTCCTCCACAGTGTCAGACCATGCCAAGCTGCATGCACCAGGATCAGAGTGCCCAGGTCCCAAGGCGGGCAGTGGCGACTGTGCTAAGCGCAAAGGCTGGGCCCGCTTCAAGGATGCCTGTGGGAAGGGTGAGGACTGGGACCGGGTCTCCAAGGCAGAGTCCATGGAGACGCTGCCCGAGAGGACAAAGGCGTCAGGCGAGGCCACCCTGAAGAAGACGGACTCCTGTGACAGCGGAATCACCAAGAGTGACCTACGTCTGGACAACGTGGGTGAGGCCAGGAGCCCTCAGGACCGGAGCCCCATCCTGGCTGAGGCCAAGCACTCCTTCTACCCCATCCCCGAGCAGACGCTGCAGGCCACAGTCCTGGAGGTAAAGCATGAGCTGAAGGAAGACATCAAGGCCTTGAACGCCAAGATGGCCACCATTGAGCAGCAGCTGTCTGAGGTACTCAGGATACTAATGTCCAGAGGGCCCTCCCAGTCTCCTCAGGAGGCTCGAGACATCTCCAGGCCCCAGTCCCCGGAGTCAGACAGAGACATTTTTGGAGCAAGCTGAGAGGAACATTTCAGAACAAACAAAAAATCACGGACAAAGGCCTGTCCCCTCGCCCTCGACACCCCCACCACCCACACGACCAACAACCTTCAAGGTAGGCTTTTCCTGACAGGAAGTCAAAGTGGGACCAAATGGCGCAGGTGTGGATTCGTGGTCTCTGGAAGGCGTAAGAGGAGCACGAGGGGCACAGCACTCTGCAGGATGGCCGCTGCGTGTGGACAGCCACCGACAGTTACGGAAGAGGGCCATGCTGCCTAGCCAAAGAGCATTTCCTTCAGCGGGTTTTACCAACGCTGTTTGTAAAAGATTAAAACTGCCGGAGGAGGACAGCAGCCATGTGGGAACTCCTGAGAGCCCCGAGAACAGACCACACAGGGCTTCCTCACAAGACCCCCGAAGACCACGACAGGCATAGGGACTTCTGGGCATTCACCCCCTGGGTCTGACATCACCATCTGTTTTCCTACTCTTGCCATTTGTAACAAACTTGCAATAAGGGGAGCTTGATGGGCAGGAGGGCCTTTGTGCCATGGAGATGCGGGCTGGGCTCCTCGGGTTCCCTTGCCTGGAAGAGGCTAGGCAAGGGTAAGGGCTGGAGAGGGCCCTCGCTCGGAACAGGATCTGTTGTGTGGTCCACAGCCTGCTTCTGACACGGAAGCTCCCACCCTCTGGCACTCACCATGCTACAGTAAGGCCTCCTGATGCGAGCTTCTCTGCCCCTGCCTCGACCTTTTCCCAAGCTTGCCATGGCTCTCCTCAGGGTGTGGGGCATTGACAGGAAGGGGCAGGAGCCCAGCGTTGCTTTCCTAACAAACACACACACACACACAACCTCAGAAAACAATGATTGTAGCGAGTACTAGGTTTCTATTTTGATTCTCGTAGGGATTTTTGTCCAGTGCATGGGGTCAATAGAGGACACGTGGGAGCCACACTTAGCCTTATTTGAAAGCCAACCTATTTCCTACTCCAAAAATAATGGCAGGACCATGATTATTCTCCAGGGAGCTGGAGAAAGAGAGTGACGCGTTGGCTTTCATGACGTCTCTGTGATAAGCTGGGGATGTGTGGTCGCAGGGCCGTCTCTCTGCAGATTGCCACCTCCTGGCAGGGACACACACTGCCTCGGTCGCTCGAGCTCAGATGCTCGGCCTTCTCTCAGTGGCATGGACAGGCCAGAGGAGCTAGCCCAGGTGTGCATCTGGAGGGGTGGCAGCAGCGCCAGGGGAGCCTGGAATCTCAGCTGTGCAGTGAGATTCGAGAGGGGCTGGGACAGCGAGTGACACACACTTAGCGCCAACAGCTTTGACGGTTCAGGGTGGCGGCATCTTGAACCTGGCGCTCAGGACATGCTCTACCAAAGAGGCGTAGCGTTCCGCTTGGTGGCCCCGGCACCTGCTGGGTCTCGATGCATGGCCGTCTGTGCAGGATGGACGGCCCTGGGAGAGCAGGGCTGTGCACGCATGTAGCTTTTCACACACTGCTTAAGGGCTGGCTCAGGGCATCCCTAGACCAAGATGCGGCAGCATTCAAAGATGCCCACTCTGGGTAAAGCTAGGCCTGCAGCCTCGTGGGCTGCCTGATGCCAACTGCCCCTGACTGTCCCACAAGGACACTCCTCAAGGATACTCACCAGCCTGGCGCTGAGGTCTAGGAGCTGCTCAGCTTCGGGGAGGCAGGCCCCGTGGCCGGGCCACACTCAGCCTCAGGAGCACCTGCTTCCAGAGCTCCTTCTGGACCGCTCTGGGGCTTAATGGTCCTCTAGCGTCTTGCCAGCCAGTGGGGCAGCGGCCTGCTGCTCCTTAACAGCTGTCTGAGGTGGGTGGCTCTTCCCCATGGGGGTCTGAGGGATCCAGATGCTGGAGTGCCAGTGAGCGCTCTCCGAGGTCAATGCAAATGATGTCTGCATCCTTGGGGTGGGGTGTCTCTGTCCACCCTGGGTTCTAGGAGTGTAGGACCCCAGAGTTCCTGCAGAACACTTGCGCCTGGCTTCTCTTTTTCCTCATTTCTCCAGCAGTCTTGCTCTGATTGGCCTCTCTGAAACAATTCTAAACTCTCACGGCACTCACTGGGCCAGGGGCTGTCTGGTGCCGACCCAGCTTTTATGAGGTCCCAACCAAGGAGCGCAGGATGCTGGCCTGCGGCTTTCTGTGTGAGCCATTGTCCGCTGGCCGAGGAGAGCCTGGGAAGCAGAACTGCCAAGTGTCAGACTCCACCCTGAGATCTCAGACCAACGCCTGAGCTCTGCCTCTTCGGAGGGGTCCAGCCTGTGCTGGCCACTCGGTCTGAACCAGCTACTGTGGCTGCCATCCACACAGAGTGCCGTCTCCCCGGGGCTTCCCTGGCAGGCTACAGGAGGCGGCCCCGCTCTGGCTGACAGCCTGCTCTCTTCCTGCAGGCATGCAGTAGTGTGGGCTAGGCATCAACCAAAGTGGCAGAGTTGCGTGTTCGGTAGGCACGCTGCCTCGTCCGGCGGCCGCGCCATCCCAGAGGCAGGGGCAGTCTCCTCCCCCGTGCAGCCCTGCTGATGCTCTGATGTAGGCACCTTGACCCGCTCCTGCCGGCTTCCGGAGCAGGGCCCATCGCAGCAGCTTCCCGGCGGGCGTCCTTTCTTGGTTTGGGCACGGAAGGTCAAAGCCAGGCCCTTGCCCATGCTGGGGAGAGCTTTGCCACTGAACAGTACCTCCGGCTTTCCTTAGTTGTTGTCAACCGATTCCTAGGGCCGTGTCAGCGCCTCTGGGCTGCCTCAGCAGCAGGATGGTTGGCAAGGGGTAGAGAAACACTGCCCCCCCCAGGCCTCAGTTTCCGAATCCTTAAGTGGAAAAGAGAGAGTGTGAAGCCAGGTGTCCGTGTGCGGGTCGGAATAGAGACTGAATGTACTCTAGAAAAAGCAGTCAGGGCCAGACCCTCGGCACCCTGTCACACTGACAGCTCCCAGGGACACGCTAGGGCCTCTCCGGAGCCCTGGCGAAGTTACAAATAAAGATGTTTAGCCTTAAGACACTTGAACGGAGCCCAGATGCAGCGGGGTGGGGCCTGTCTCCTTCCTAGCCCCTCTCCCACTGTTAGACAGGAGGCCTGCTAGGCCCAGCCCTCGGAGGGCCCTGCTCCCGCAATGTCCGCCGTCGCCGTCGTCCCGTTCCATTCCTGCCTTCTCACTCGCTTCACCAGCGCCTGAGCTCTCCACCCCAGTGCAGTGCACCCGGCCCTGAGCTCCCGAGGACCGTTCTCCAGCCAGGGTGTGGGTGTGGAGACTCCCTCCCTGCCCCTCTCACAGCCCAAAGGCGGCGTGAATTCACCTGCAGCTCACATCAGTCTTCGCACTAGCGCGTCAGAAGCTTAAAGGCGGCCTTAGAATTCCCCAAGGTGCCAGGCCTGGTGGCAGTGTCTCCAGGGCGCCCAGCCTTCCCCCGGGACACTGATTCTCTACCTGTGACTCCAGGTCGTCCAGCCCCCTGCTCCTCCATCAGCAGACAGCATGCTCGTGGGGGACACAGCGCCCCGTGAGCGGAGCTCTTCATGTTCAGACGCGGGCTCAGCATCCGCTGGAGGGCGTCCACACCCGAGCTGCAAGGACATTTATGCTCACGAGCAGCTTGTCGATCTGGGGCTTCTCCTACGAACAGTCTCCATCAGTCCTGCCAAGTCCTTTACCGGGTTTTCGTTTCTTTTTCCTCTGTCCGAACGAGCGTGAATGAAGGAAGTGCACATGAGCGGAGACTGCTGCCAAGCGCCGCACTGTGACTGTGGTGCGGGGCTGTGGAGAGCACGCGGCACTCCAGAGACGACACCCCTTCCTGACATTTTTAAACAAGCACAAATGATCTTTGTAAAAAAAGTTAAATTTTATTTATTATGGTAATAAACTATTTTATATGTGATGCTTGTTTGCCGTGGCCTTTTCTTCTGTCATTCAGTCAGGTGCTGTCTGCTCTTGCGGCAGTTTGTGCTTGGCTCTCACGACCTCCATGAGTGGCTGGCCTAACTCCGGCTCTAGTGATCCGACAGCTTCTTCTGGCCCCGAGGTGCCTGCACCCAGCACACAAACCTAACAAGGTGTCTTTGAAGGTCTGGGAAGCTCGAGGGTGGGTGGCGCCTTGCATTAGTTCTTGTTGCTGGGGCGAAACAGCTTGCAGGAAGGATTTACTTCAGCTCATGGCTTGAGGGCGCTGCAGTCCGTCATGGCATGGAGTCATGGCAGGAGGAGGTCACAATGTACTTCAGTCCGAGCCTCAGCTCTGTTTCTCTCTCTCTCTTTCTCTGCAGCCCATCATCCCAGCCCAAGAAGTGCAGGTAGGCTGAGAGATTTGTCTCAAAGGTAATTCCAGATCCTGTCCTGTTGGCAGTCGACAGGAACCTACCGTGGATTGGGGAAATCACAGTGCTAGCGCCAGCATGCTTTCTGTCTGAGCGCTGGTCACCGAGTGGCCACAGGGAAGTGGAGCGATGCTTGTTCCCTGAGCAGGTTCTGCCTCTGCCGTGGGAAACTAAAAGGCTGCCTCTAGACACGAGTCCTAAAGATACGAGTCCTTCACAGTCAAGCCACGGCGATGGCCGTGGCTTCAGGCTCCAGTGGAGGGGGCAAACCTCGTTCAAACCGCAGCATTTGCTTTCACATACCTCTCCGGTCTGCCTCCTGCTCGAACGTGCCGTTCTCATCTTGAGCAAATTGGCTTGAGTTTTGCATATTAGTGTTGCCCCTACTTTGTAAAAGAGCAAAAACAGCTGTGAGTGACTCTGTCAACAGCATTGACCTCTGACCCCGTGTCATGATGGTGTCCAGGGCTCCTGAGGCAGAGGCCCACCTGCCTGAACAGTTCTCACAGTGCAGCCACAGCTCTGCTGCTTCCTCAGCAGACACGGAGCCAGAGTCCACAGCGCTGCACCCACGTCTTATTACTACCCCGTGACCTAATGTGCAAAAAGTCCTTCCCTCTCTGCGGACGGTGGAACTTAATTCTGGCATGAGTGATCCGTACGGGAAGCCAGTCGGGACATGGAGAGCCTCCCTGGCCAACAACAAGCAGTGGCATTTTTAAAGCCACCCTTCAGCCCCTGTTTGATTACAGACGGGCCTGGCGAAACTAATGATGAGACTACCCAAATCCCAAATGACTAATGCTCAGTTCAGACTCTTCGCTGATAAGCGGCTGAGCATTAACTGCATCCTTAGTCTTCCGTGGTTAAACCCGTAGATAGGATTTTTAACTAGTCAACCCAACTAGCAGTAGGCGCACTAACTCACACGACCTTTGGGGCAGTGGGTGGGGCTCAGCCCTATTGTTCACATCCATCCCGAGGTGTTTGCCTAAAGTATAAACGCTGTAGTTAGGTTTCCAGTACATAGCCAGCCAACAGCAGAGAAAATAGTCTCCATTTCTGCAAGGGAGCCCGGCCCTGCCCGCCACACACAGTTGCCAGCAGCAGGTCCCACGGGTACGAGTGATCTTCTCTGGACCAAGACCATGTTCTCACACACCTGGAAATGTAATGCCATTCGGCACTCTTTGTGGCTCCAAGAACCGACCACGATGCCAGCAGGACTTTGGTTGCCTTTGGGCGTCTTGCTTCCCTCCTGGTGCCAGCTACCTCCGCAGTTGACCAGACTCTGGCTTTGCTCTGGAGCTAGGTCTGGGCCCGAGGGTTCCGGGACTGGCAGTGACTCCGCACCTTGCCCAGCGGTTTTCCAGAACTGCTCCGGAAGTTGCCAGGGCTGATGAGATGGCTGACTGTTGCCGGGAACCAGACTTGGGGTCTATTCACAGGCAGTGGAGACTGCAGGTGCTCTCAAAATTTTTATTTAAAAATGTACAAAATAAGCCTAGAAAAAAAACTGAATTATCTATGGAACAAAAAAAGGTTTTGCTTTCTTTGAATGAGATAAGGCAATAAAACCCACTGAGCAAAACAGACTTAGCCCCTGGGGCCTTGCCCAGTAGCACCTGTGCGTGGACCCCACTCTCCAGCGCAGAACAGCTGGAAGAGGAACGACCGTGTTACTCCATGGCCACAGATCTCAGAAAGCAGCAGCTACGTGGGGACTCCCCAGGAAAGTTCATACTGCAGAACTTCCCAGAATGCCCCAGCCATACCTCACCCATTCTAGCCGCTTGAAGCAGTGTGGATTGCTGCCTCCCTACCAAGGACTGTCCTGTGAGGGCTAGTCCAGAGCCCCCAGTGCAGGACATGGGAACAGGTCATCAAAGTATTATAGACCGTCTCAGGGAGGGCGGGCCCTCCCTAACCAGGACTTCCGTGCCAAAATAAAGTGTTGATTCTGAGTTCAACTCACACTGCATCTTTGGTAGAGCAGAAAGAACTCAACAGGTCTGTGGGAGGATCTAGAACAAATGTCGCCAGGTTTAGTTGAGAGGACACTGCTCTGGACTCCATCTTACGCAGCAGGAAGCTTCTGGGGTAGAAACTCTTTGAAGCTCTACAGGATTTGGGGTTGTACATTTTCTGAGCTATATCAAGCTTCCAGTCTCAGAGAGAAGATGAATGGAAGGCGGCCCTCAGGGATGTCCTGGAGTGGAAGGCGGTCCCTCAGGGACTGTCCTGGAGAAGGCGGCCCTCAGGGACTGTCCTGGAGAAGGTGGCCCTCAGGGACTGTCCTGGAGTAAAAGGCGGTCCCTCAGGGACGGTCTCTGAGTGAGAGGTCCGGGCGGAATGCCGTGTCCCTGAAGGCTGACAGCAAGGCTGACCTGGCTCAGCAGCATTAGAGAACTGTGTATGTCTGGGCCCAGGCGATACCCACATGTGCATAGCAGTACAGGAATCCCAATACAGACAGGGTCACCCATGGCCAGCCTATGGGAAGAGGCAGAAAGGAAGAATGGTGAGAAGGCCTGGGCAGGCCTTCCTGGCAAATTGTCTCCCAAGGAGATGGCAACAGAAACACAGGCCCCCAGAAGACCCGCTTTGTGTGGACCCAGCAGGTTGGGTCCTGTGCTCTCATCAGGGTCGCTGTGAAGTGAAGGTTACATTGTTGCAAAAGCAGACACGCTTAGGGACGGGGCAGCTTTTAAAGAGTGTGTTCTGTGGGGACTAAAGCAAAGGGCCAGAGAGAAGACGGCCTGGGGGGCTACGGCCACTCTCCAAATGCAGAGCCGCTGTTGGCCACGTTTTAGCGCACAGAAAGGCCCTAGGGTGGGTGTTGAACTTCACGGCCCGGAGCCCAGGGCTGACACGGCTCGGCACTTGAGACTCTGCTTCTGCAGAGGGCGAGGGCTCAGCTCCCGAAGGGCGGCTCTCAACTCCCAGAGGCCCCAGGTCCAGGGACTGCAACGGCCTACGCTGGGCTCCATAGCCCCTGCTGCACGTATGTACCTGCACACACTCAGGCATGTGCGCGTGCCTATGTGCACACACGGCGTTCTCTGCACACAGCGTGCACACACACACGCACACACACAGCCCATATTCCCCACATACATGTGCACACACACACA